ACATGCATAACGCATCTGTCTTTGCTGGATTTCATTGATCACCAGAGAGACACTATGTATGTAACAGGGCTACTGTGAGCACTGAGAGAAGCATTTAGTCCAACAGCACATTGTAAGAAGGTAATGAATGAGTCACTGACGGCAGATGCATGCTCTCTTATGCAGATGCACAGCTATGTGAACACGGTGGATAAATGCTTCGAGAACAAACACTATTTTATGGATCTCTGTACCCCTCCCAGTGTCTAGACCTTAGCTGCTCAATAAATATTTGCTGTGGGACTATAAATTTTCTTCACCATGAAGTCACTGATTTCATGCCATTTGGGACATAGAAACATTAATGCTATGAGAGATTCAGCTAACAATGACCTCATTGAAAAACCAGAGACCTAATCTACACTAGAAGGTTACCAGACTATTCTTTTGTAGATTAGGCAGCGATTTACCACAGGGAAAATTTAACCTTGAGAAAATCAATTATCAAACTGATGGTTTAAGAGTCATATTCAGACCGTGCCTAATGACCAAGGTAACAATTGGAATTATAAAAGGTCCTAGCTAAATCTCTCAAATTTCTCCAACATCTTCAAATATCCAAGTTTTAAAAACAATCCTGCTGCTGGGGTATTAACAGATACACATATGAAATTGGAGGAATGAGTAGATTATGCAGTTAGGGGAAGGCTCTGGACGCAGTGGTTAAGAAGTCCCATTGGAAGTGCCTATGTTAAATACCCAGTTCCAGTTCCTAACGCTTGCTTCCTGCTCTCGTGGATCCTGGGGATCAGCAAGGATGGCTCAAGAAACCAGAGTCCTAGCACTCACACGTGAGAAGCCTGGATTGAACTTCTAGCTCACAGCTTCAGCCACAGTCGGGGCTCATTTACAGGTATCTGGGGAATGATTTGGCAGATGAAAGCTCTGGATCACCCTGCCTCTCCAAATGCAGTGATGTCAATCCAAATGCTGACGCATGAGTTTACTGGCTTTGTTGCAGACAGTGCAATCTTTGCAGAGTCCTGTGAGGGCCACCATGAAATTTATGTGGCATCACCTTGCTCTAACAGTGTCAACACTGTCAACGGTTCTACCTGTTTCTGTATGATCATGTGACTTCCTTGTGAGCTATGTGACCGCCATGTGAAAGGCAGTGCATTCTGTGTGGGGTACACCTGCTGGACTGCAGAATTTCTGCACACACACACACACACACACACTTGTGCCACCCACCTCTGCCACATGACTGTTTTGGTTGAAATTCTAAACAGTAAAAATAGCATCTGGCTGTGACAAGCCCTCTGTATTGTCTAGATAAAAAACAAAAAATATAGAGGTAGAGAGCGACTTCGCACAATCTCAGTTAACCCAAGGAGATACTGTGATCTGCCTATGTTTCTGCCACTAGTCTTCAGAAAAAATATTCTGAATCTCAATGTTATAATGTTCCTGTTTACTTGGCTTGAGTTACCAAAGTAAAAAATAATAATCATTCACATCTCAATGTAATTGTGTTTCTCTAAAGTGAAAATGTAGTACAGTTAAGCAGGAGAGATATTCACTTCATTGCCTCAATAAACACAACACAAACTGTAAGACTGCAGTTCTGCTTTCTAAGTTACACCCACTGTCCTCGCAGCTCGAGGCAAACTCACTTTATCAGACACCTAAAGAGCTTAGAAATGATGCCAATTAAAAACCAAAATGCATAATCACATTTCAAGTATCTTACAGAAACTCTTCTAACAGAAGTAACCCACACAAAACCCAGATTATTTTGTTCAAAACACTTTCTTTCAAGTAGGCTGTCTTGTGTACTTAGGGACCAGTTACAGAGTAAAAAGAGGATGGTTTTGTGAAGAGAACTGGGAGAAAGGCTCAGTGGTTTAAAATGAATGGCGCAGGGGGACAGAAGAGGACAAAGGACACGGTGTGCTACCACGAATGGCAGCGCCACACTCCTTTCAGCTAGGTCCCCACCTCTGGCTCCAGCCACTGCAACCTAATCAGGAGTTGGTACCCAAAAGAGTAAACGCAAAGGCTGCTGGAGGGAGAGAACAGACGACCGATTCCTTGGCTATCATCTAACTGACCTTTCTTCACATCATCATAGAATGTTGATAATTCCCTTTTCAGTTGTTAGGAGGAATGATGAAGACAATGTCTATAGAAATAAATGTGTATGTATTAAAACACATCTGATGAAATCCTTGCCAGAATGCTCACAGTAGTTATCTTTGGCTGGCACAATTGTAAATACACTGTATTTTCTGCTTTTTTAAAAAATGAGTAACTGTATGTGATGCATGAATGTAATGCATGCAGCTCACTCAGCACAGTGCTGGCTTAAAAACGGCAGCTACCCTCATTAATATCACAAACAGAATATGGCAATCTACCCTCTGCTCTTTCCTCTGATTTCTGGGTGCATAAATGAATACTCCCCTGTGGAGGAAAAGTCATGAAAAAATTAAGTTGGTCCTACCACCCAAAGTCCACAGTAGCCTTCCCACTCCTAGGTCAAAAGAAAGGCCAAGGTTAGGGGAACAGGTGTTTATGTGCTTAGTGTTGAAAGGATCTGCCTAGCCAAAGGCAAGCTCAGCTGTCACCAGTCAGGCCAATCAGAATGAAATCAACCCTGACTGCATATCTTCCCAGCTAATGCGAATTACGAGATGGCTTTGAAAAGCAAATGCCTCCAAACAGAATGCCCAGATTCGATAAGTCTAGTAAGATTGGGAGCTTACAGTGTGAGCGATTAGACAGGATGGAAACCTAGGTCAGCTCTTGAGATTCTAGTGTGCAAATGTGTCTTATTTTAAAAGTAGCTTAACTAACAATCTACCACAGGTTTCAAGACTTGAAAACACAGATCTTGGGAATAACATCACAAGTGTTTAACTAAAATTATTACAATTGCAGGATAACACAGAGAAACACATTTATATCCTATAGAAGAAACAGACATTTTCAACAAAGCTTGAATTCTGCTAAAGGTGATAATAAAATACTATTATCTAAAATGAGTACCAGTATTCCCTTGATCACAACCAGAGTCAAGCAACCCCCTGGGGAGGAGAGATGGAAGGTAATTATTTAAGTAAGTAATCTAGGGGGTTTGTGTTTTGAGCAGGATGCAATTTTTGTTGTTTTGACTAAAGCTTCATGATGCTTTCCCATTCTCTGTTTTCTGTTTATGTTTGATATGCATGCTGATGTTTGGGAACATTTTCAAAGCTTTAGTAGTTTTAAATTTCTGGTTATCTGATAATCAAACTTCATTTGCACTCAGTTCTTAGGGACACAAAACATTCTCCCAAGGTTCCAGCATAATAAACATGAGCTACCTAACAGGTTTTTTTTTTTTTGCCACTATATTAGATTTTGCATATTATTTGAAAATTATATATCTTCCAAAAAGAATGGCCCCTTCATTCCTTCTCTTTCTCTTCCCCTCTTCTCCTCTCACCCCCAAAGAAAAGATGTCAGAGAAACATCTAGATTCTTACACACTGTCAAAACTGAAAGACAGGACCCAAAATCCTAATTATGTTTCAGAAAGACTATGCTGATAATCTGATGTCAAACTGACTTTCATGTTTGGGATCTGACTGAATACAGTTCTACATGAGCGACGGAGTTAAAAAAAAAAAGCCATTTATCAAAAAGACTCAAAACATGAGGCACGGGATGAGAAGAAAAGCAGAAGCTGAGAACACGAGTCCAGGGTGACTCAGTCTCCCTTCCGATAGTTGTTAAACGGAATCCCCCCTCCACTGTGTGCTGCCTGAGGACCACTGTGGTTCTGTAGTCACTAGTCATGGCTGCCCACAAGTACGGTGTGTCTGAAGTCTAGAAATACCATGTCAGTAATAGTAAACTATCTCCATTGCCTTATCTGTAAAAAGAAAAATATATTAGATAGTTAGATCTGTATAAAGTGAATGAACACTGAGCGCAGAGGAAAGGGAAGGACAAGTGGTGTACAGTCACAGTTCCTCTGGACAGAGTCACCAAAGTCCTGCTCCAGCCACCCGATCAGGTGGTGTCTGAGGAGGAGTCATAGGAGGCCGAGAGGACGAAGTTGCCGCTGTTGGAGCGCCCAGCCACCGACTGGGCAGCCTGCTGGCTCAGGTTATTACAGATCAGCACCAGCTGGTTGCTCTGGGCCTCGGACAGGGTGCTGCAGCTCTGATACACGCTGAAGTTGGTCTTGCGGCCAGGGATGTTGCCCTTCTCACACATGGTCTTCACCATCTTGGCCAGCTTATTCTTGCCGAGGGCCTGGCAGTTGTACCAGTGTAGAGCCGCCAAATTCACAACTGGCTTGATGGACAGGTAGAAAGGGGCATCCTCGTAGCGCATAGCAGGGGGCCGCCGCTGAGCGTACTCCTTATAGTCCTGCACTGGGCAGGTCTGTGGGGCGTGCTGCGTGGCGTACACACGGGAGTCTGTGCCCCCTCTTTTGGTTTTGGCGTTCAGGTCTCCGGCGTCCTGACCCATCCACTCCAGGTACTCCAGCCCGGTTTCTGTCACCCGGAGGCGAATATCGCCCCATTTCAAGGTGGATCCATGGAAGCCCGTGCAGTGGCCAAAGGCCTTGGTGTTGTTGAGCCAGACGAGGTTGAGCAGGCCCTCTGGATTGTACCGGCTGAGCAGTCCCCGCTTGCGCAGGATGAGCTCGTCTGCAAAGGTGAGCTTCATGGACTTGTGTGGCTTATTCCCTTTCCCTTTGCAGCGGAGTTCGATCTGCTTTTGCTTCAGGGCCTCCTGGGACCGCTTGAATTCCTTGTCCCTGGTGATGCTGTAGCCATATCTGTGCTCTTTCAGGTACCGCTCAAGCCCACACTGGTAATTGGCCAAGCTGTTGGGTTCGTACTCAGACCCATCCTTCTGCCTGGCGTCCACAAAGAAAGAGGCAAGATAGGCATCCAGCTCCTTGCAAGGGATGACATAGATCTCTCTGGTCTCCGAAGGATACTTGGAGATGAGGAACTCGCGGAAATTGCGGAGCGCGGTCTGCGTGCTCCGGATGGTTTTCTCGTTCTGCTCCCTGCTGAGCTCCGCTGCTCTTTCATCCTGGTCTGCAACAAATTGGGGAGGGGAGGGATAGAGAGGGTGTTGATGAGTTCACACAATGCACTTGCTACTCTGAAATAAAGTTTCCTTTTTATTATGAAAAGGGAAAGGAGGAAATCCATTCTTAGAGAGGTCACTGAGAAATGGTATTTGCATGCCTGCCCTCTTGTACTAGCCCACTTGAGTTTCACAAACGATGCACTAGAAAAGGCTGTGGCCCATTACAATCAAAATGAGCTTCTTCTAGAACTGGCACGCAGTTTGGGCGTGTGAGGTCTGTGGAAGGGGCGAGACTGGAGATGGTTTTCTTTGTAGGAAAAGGGTAGAATTCGTTTGTGAAGCCAGAGGCCATACTGGTTCCACCTTACCAAACTGAACGAAAATAACTGTATCCATATCAGTTGCCTTAATACATCACAAGTAATTGGCACTGGAAAATAAAAAACAAACAAAGACTTTCTGCAGCAACTTACTGCTCTTCTGCAGTGGCTCAGGGCAACCTCTCCTACAAGCGATCTGCACCTAAGGGTGGGGCAGTCTGTGGTCACTTTGGTACTTTGCAGGGTAACAAGGATACAGCTGCACTACTACAAAGACAGAACAACAAAGCACAGAATAAGCTTCTATGGCCAGAGGCAAGAAAGAGGGTACGTCTCCTGCATACATGGCTTTATTTTATTGATTTACTGTTGAAACTCTGCCACCAAGGATTTGGAAAGTGCCCTGTGTCCATGGTTTATCCATGGATTAAGAAAGGCTGTTCCAGAGTACAGTTCATCATGCTGTGCTTCAGAATCACCCAGGAAGCTCCATCACAATGCAGGTTACGAGGCAGCAGGCCGAGGTTCTGCATTCCACCTGCACCTCCACGATCGCGATGAGGTTTTAGGCAACACACGCTTGGAGAAACAAGGCTGAAGTGTCTGCCCTGCTCTGTTTCACCCAACTTTCCAAACAACGATTAAGTTCAGTAACAATATTTAAAGGTTTTGATTTCAGTAACGTGCAATTTAAATGCAGGATCTTAATATTAATCGCAAACACATACTGTCAAAAGTCACCACTATGATAACAGGGATGGTCGGGGTGAAATTTAAAAAGGGGCGAAAACCCTGTTAAGATGAAAGTATACAACTGAAACAATTAGGCTATCCTACTGACTGCTGGGGTTATTTGAACACAACACAAACATGTCCATTTCTTATTCTAAAGGATATGCTGAAAGCTTTTATTTATCCAGATTATCTATGAAAACATTAATCTAGAAGGTTTCTCAGTGGAAGTTTCTATATCACCTAATAATAAAATTGCTAATAAACAGTTGTACTCACAAGACATATTTTTTTTTGCATTTTGTAAGATTGTTATTTTAAAATAACAAGTATAAGGTATAACTGCCAGAATCCACATTAACTTTAGAAAATGAAATTAACTGAAATTCACTAACTAGCTATTTTCTTTGATAGGCACGTCTTTGAGAGATCATACTTCTGAAACAAACATACCAAAATATATTTATGCTTCAACAAGCTTAGCTTTTGGTTGTTCCAGCTGAAATTGTTTGTCAACAATAAAAATGTGTATCTTTTCATCAAAATGCAGAAGCCAAAGATTGAACGTAACTTTGTACCAGTTGGTCTCTGTTTGCAAGAGAAGCAAAAAGGGCCAGCACACGTTTGTTTTGGCTACTGGCTCAAGTGCCTATCACAGTGGTCTTCAAAGACTTTCTAAGGAATAGATGCAGACCAGGTTGGCAAGGCAGGCGAGGGGGGTGTTGGATGGACTTCCAGGGGCTCAACCGGCAGGTGGAACCTTTTCTACTAGTTGGTGTCTGACACGCAGAGTTCATGCACACAATACCATCCCAAATCTGCCATGGCACATGCTCTGGGGCAGAAAAGACAGGAACCAAACAAAAAATTGTCAGTCGATGATTAAGCCCACAGCATTTCTGTCCTTCTCTATCTCATAAAGAATCTAAAATAGGTGAAATATGCCAATGGAAAAAGGGGTGGAATGGGGGTGGGTGGCATTGTGGTGTAGCACGTTAAGACACTGTTTTTCGACTTCAGCATCACACATGGACACTGATTTGAGTCCTGGCTACTTCACTTCCGATCCAGCTCCTTGCTTGTAAAAGCGGTGGCAGATGGTCCAAGTTCTTGCGCTCCTGTCATCCATCCATTTAGGAGACTCAGAAGCAGCTTCAGCCTAGCTCAGTCTCAGCTCTTGTGGCTATGGGAGGAGTGAACCGCAGATGGAAGATTCTGTGTGTGTGTGTCCACCTCTGTAACTCTGGCTTTCAAATGAATCTTTTTATAGATTATAAAAAGAAACATGCTTTGAGACCTGAATTGGAGTGTTCTGAATTCAGGGCATCTGAAGGCGTTATAGATGAAGGAAGTTGATTCTTGTAATTAGACCAAGATATTCTATGGGATTAGCAAAGTGTTCAAGATAAACTGGAAGCTTCAAATTTTATCAATTTTATCAAAATCAAACTGTGTGCTTTTAAAATTCACGAGGTGCTTAACAATTGTTACCAAATTACATCATGAAATACTCAAGCTATAATCACCCTACTTTTATCTCATTTTTTTTTTTTATTGAAAAGGCAGATACACAGAGAGAAGGAGAAACAGAGAGAAAGATCTTCCATCCACTGGTTCACTCCCCAAGTGGCCGCAATGGCTGGAGCTGAGCCATTCTGAAGCCAGGAGCTTCTTCCAGGTCTTCCACATGGGTGCAGGGTCCCAAGGCTTTTGGCCATACTCTACTGCTTTCCCAGGCCACAAACAGGAAGCTGGATGAGGAGTGGAGCAGCTGGGACATGAACTGGCATCCATAAGGGGTCCCAGTGGATGCAAAGCAAGGGTTTAGCCACTAGGGTATTGTGCTGTGTCTAATCACCCCATATTGTTAAAATATTTTCTACCTCATTTTTAAACAAAAATAACTGAATCTGTGGATGAAAAATATGTTATCAATTTTAAAAAGTAAGTTAGTGGTACATAGCTAGCTGCATTTCCCCCAAGAGTTTTCTCAAGGGATAGGTTAAAAAAAAAAAAAAGTTCGACCCTGTTGGACTTCATTAAGCTGCTATAGTCCTCCTAAGTGAACCTGGTAGAGAGGGCTTCCACAGCACAGAAGGGCCCGGAGAGCTGCCCTGGATGTCCTAACTTGGGACAGTTCCCTGGGGAAGCAGCCAGCTCTCCTATTTCTGCATCTCCTCTACATTTTGTTACCCACTCACACCCCTCCAACCCATCCTCCATCCACCCTTGCTTCCAAGTTTATTTCTCCTTTCTACTTGGCTGTGACCTTGGTGACCAAAGAGTGATTTCATCTGCAGGAAGACAAAAAAGTATCACTGTCACATCCTTTCCTCACAGCTTGGAATGCACCACTAGAGGAAATTAGATTGGCAAAGACAACCTCGTTCATTTTATGAGAATAAGGCAGAAGGAAACAGTTACATTTTCCAGCTAACATCAAAATCAAACAAGACCAGAGGTTGCTAATGCAGAACTGTTACATTACCTTGGATTTATCTCTGTTTTTTAGAAATTGTTTAGAGTCATTCCTGTTAAAAAAAACATTTTATTAGAACACAACTACATACGCTAGGGTAGGCATTAAGTGCATGTGACTGCTACAAATTGAAAACAACAGTGAATGAGAAAAAGAAAAAGACCAGCCCCCCAGAGGCATTTCTCACGTCCCCACCAAGAAAGCTCTTCTTCCGATTTGTAAACACGTGGGTGGAAATGCAGATGGTGAACTCTGATCTCTGGCCGCTTTTCTTCAACATTATGCTTGTGAGCTCATATTGCAGATTTGCTGGATGTTTATCTTCATTGCAGGAACATATTTTTCCATTCTATTAGTTCTTACTTTATTTAGGGCTGATCCCAATACAACTTCCATGAACATCTAGTGCCTTTTTTGGTGATCACAGGTATTCGTTTCTACTGCGTAAATATTTGGAAAGAGAATTTGCTGGGGCATACGAAATCATGCGATAAGCCCTAAACAGAAAACCACCAACCAGTGTTGCAAAGTTGTTGTCCAGTTTACTCCCTCCATGCCCAAGGCTCACCATGGTCCAAATCTTCAACAGTACTAATGCCAGCTACGTTTATCTTAGCTATTTGAGTAGGTATGTAGTGGTATCGTATTTTAATTTCAATGTCTTTGATGATAAACGATGGATACCTTTGTGTTTATTAGCTAACTGGATATTATTTTATGAAATGCTTATTTTGCCCATTTTTCTATTAAGTGATCTACTCCTTTCTTACTGTTTGTAGAAGGTCTCTTAACATGTGCTGGATATGACTCTGCCACACATGCGTATTTCAAAAATCTTCTCCCCGTCTGTGGCTTGTCTTTCCACTTTCTTAGTGGTGCTTTTTAGTGAACAAGGGTTCTTCATATTAGTCCATTTCATTAATCGTAGTCTTTCATGGTTTACATTTTTGTGTTCTTTGTAAGCAATTTGGCTTGTTCCAAGGTCATGCTGATCTTCTATTTCTTTCAAAGCTTTAACTGTTTTACTTTGCACATTTCAACTGGTGTGCACATAAAATGTTCTGACACAGAAATTAAGATGAGTTTTTCCAATATGGACAATGATCCATTTACTTTAAAATTTTTTTTAATTATTATATTTTTGACAATCTTTACATAGTTAATTGGGGTAAAAAGGCTCAAGGGCTATAGGAAAGTGGGTAAGACTATTATTTCCATATTGTTTCCTTCATGTTTAAGATCCATTTACTTTTAAATAACAAAATTAGAATAGACAATACAAGCATTAATATATAATATCTAAAAACTACAGATAGTTAGACAGTAAAAAAAAGCCTCCTATCTCTTTGTTACCAAGCTTCCTCTGCATGGCAACCAATGATATCAACTGACTGGGCATACTTTCTGGAATTCTCTACATACATATTTACTATTTCAATTCATGATGGGGGAGGAGTATACTACAAACCTAGCC